TGACCCGCCCGCCCCGGGCCATCCCGCTCGGCCTCACTCTGCCATCCCGCTCCCCGCCCTTCCCTGGCGACAAACTGCGCCCCATAAAACTGCGATTCCGACTGCAGCCGGTATTTCCACCGGGCTCTCCTGCGCCCTAGCGCCGCGCCGCTCACAGGGCCTAAAGGAGAATGCGTCTTAACGCATGAAAAAAATCTGAAAGAACTAAAGCTTTTTACCTTAAAATGTTTGCCTTTTTGAAGATTGTTAGTGCGATAGTTAATAAGTGAGTTTTGAAAAATGATTCAGTAAACTGTAAAATGGATTCAATTTTCCACTGTCCATATTTAGTTTGTTAAGAGATGTTTCTTAGACAATAATAAATCTCCAAACAAGTTCAAAGTTATTGATAGAACTGCATAGAGGAAATGACACTGTAACCTTTTTTTATTCCATACACTACACTCAGAGACCCTTGATAGCTTTGCACACTTCTCACCGTGATACAAATCTAAAATTGAACACAAAGTTTTAAAATATTAACGAACAGCCTAAACTATTTTAGTTCGTTTTATTTTACCGCGTTTTCTGATACTTGTAAGTGGGTTAAAAGGCTTGTTTGCGACCTTGAAAAATATTTCGGCTCCTCCGGCGTCGTTTCCGTCTACTGTGTACCGTCGGGGAGCGGATTGGAAAATCGCCGCCTCGTCGTCACCGTCACCGGCGCCTTCATTGCGAGGTCCCCTCCCATTCTTTTCGGCGCTTTTTCATGTCCGCCAGGCTGCTCCTTCCTCGCCCCAGCCATTGCTTTACCTGTCGTTTCTTTGGTTCGATTCAGAAATGTCATTGTCACGGCCATTTCGACATTTTCGTGTAATCAGAAGAACGACACTCTTCAACAATGCAAACAATGGGCAAGAAGCAGCTTTTGACGTTTGGAAGACTCCATTTTCATTTACAGTTTCATCTCGAGAAGGCAGTGCGTTATCTTTCTGATAACAGTTTACGACTGTTTCGAATTTTCACCTTGTCGGCTGCATTCATCTGATATTTCCGAACAGAGTACAATGTCACCTTCAGTCATCACTCTTCCCCATGTAAACATCTGTGCATCAGACCCCAAGAACAACTTAAGAAAAGTTGCATTAATTTATTTATATGATGAGAAAATTAAATTATCTCGCAATTCGTGTAACTTAATTCATTTACCTGATTTGTTTTTAGGCAGCCAGAAGTAAAAAAGGGTACTTTCAGGGCTTGCTTGGCCTGGTTAAAGTTCAATTTGTATCATTAATGCTAAAAATGAAACGATGTTCAAATGTTCGGATAAAACTGTGATTTCAACAAAGAAAACATAATTTTGTACTTTCGTCTGACCACATCAGGTACTACTGATCTTATCGTAACATACTTCACAAGTAAATGATTTGTGTACTTGAATAAAATATAATGAAAAATAATGTATGACAAACGTGGGAAAAGACATTATTTCGCTCTTAGGATTGCGACACAAGGCCATGACCGTTTTTCCTACTCGCAAAAAAAAAACGGTTACTTTACCACTCGTATTGTAAATAACGCTTCGCTGTGGAAGAACGCTTTAGTATCTTCGCATTTAGCGGCTTTCAAAACTTAAATTAATTATTTATTCATTAATTCATTAATCAAAAAATAAACAAATTATTTTTTTTACTTAGATGATCCTTTTAACTAATCAAAATTAATACCAAAACGAATTAAAAAAGATATGGTAAATACGTATATTGAAGGACGCTTAAGTGCTTCAAAGCTAACCAAATCTTCACTAATCTTCGAACGTATTTGAGGCATTCGGAGAAAGAATTTTTCCATTTGCACTCCCAAGCGTTCCTTATGCTCGTTGACGATTGAAAACTTTTCTTTTAAGTCTTCCAGAGTATTACCTGCCTCTTTTCAATATGTGGGAGTGTAGTTGCTATTTTAGCAGCTGAGTCTGCCGTTTCATTTTCTGAAATCCTTTTTTGGGATGGGAACCAAGTAAATGTATTTTAAAAATCAATATCTAGACATTCTTGAATTTGTTGAATCAGAGGGTACTTACAATGTCTATTTTAAATAGAAATTAGAGTTGATAGCAAATCAAAGATGACAATTAGAGGGTTAGCTGAGTTCTATGAATTAATGAAATTAAGTCTTCTAGGGAGAATAGATATAGGATCAGTATTAATTTCAGTTCCATAATTGATGAGTCTTTCACTTGGGAAGTTTTGTAATTTGGATGGCGATCATAATAATATGTTTTAAAATTGTTGAAGGTATATTGATTTATAGTGTTTGGAGGTGTGGTGAATGTAGAGTATGCACATTTAAGCGTAGAATCTTGCTTTGTAAATGTATGTGAAGGAAACCGGCTTCCGTCATTACACTATTTTTTGGGGCTGGTTTTGAAGTTCCTGAGGTATAGACGGCTAGCCGTGTTAATAACATGGTCGGGTTCCTCTAGGATATTTTTACCTATTTACCCATACACAACAGACCATTGTTCTGTATAATTTAATATTGACTCAATGTCCTTCCCTGCTTGCATATATTTTCCATGCTTATATTTTTGCTGAATTGACCTTTGAAACATGATATTCGCATTGTCTAGAGGAGTGAGAAGTTTAGAAAGAGATTTCAAACTATAGTGGTAAAACAAATCTAACAAAACTTCGATATATATTTCAAGTAACTAATCTAATCCTCTTACTCCTTTAAGAGCATGTTGTAATTTTTCCATCTAAGCATTGCTATCTATATCTTGGAAATTTCTCGTCGTACATCAAACTCTATAACCTTTGGCCTGAAATGTTTGTGTACACGAGCATAACGTTCGACAATCGAGCCATCTGAATTTCAGCGTTTTGTGGATTTAAACGATAGCAGGCTTCTTCCCTCTGCTTCCTGAAAGGATTTCTCTTGCTTTCTACGCACTGTTTTGCGTCCAACTGTGCGGCGTCTATTCCTCCCTTCTCAGGGACCTTTACCTTCACCTTATCTTTCCTTCAGCGGTGCCTCATTTTTCAAATCTTTCACCGGCTGAGTTTATCTCAGAGCCTGCATTACCACTGTTCTTCCAGCGACTCTGACCAAGGATCCTAGAATTTGAGTCCCGATGGACGGTTTTTGAAACGAGCCAGGGATACACGTCGAAATCACTCGTTGTCTGGAGAAGAATTCTAGCGTGTTATTTCCTATCATTGCCAGGCAAATGCCGGAGCAGTAAATTAACAAATGGGTCGCGCGCGATCTTTCCTTCCTTCTCCTTGACGTATACTCATCGCTTACGCACATACACTTCCAAGCCCTACACTACCACACGTATCTTGAGACCAGACGGGAGCTTAGAGCTTGTCCGGCCGGGGCGGTGCCTCGCTGGCGAAAACTTGGAGGGAAACATTCCCACAAACCGACGTGTGGGTTCATTGATTGATTGATTTTGTGGCGATTCCGGGAGCGTCGACTGCCTGATATTCCTGCTGGTATTCCTTCGCTGGCTGGCGAGATCCGGTGCCGACCTTCGTTGGCTTGCGTGGATTTTTCCCAACCAATCATCTCCCACCAGCGGGACACCCCAGCTGGGACAAGCTCTATGCCCCCGAAGTGTCTCCTGTCATGTGTGGTAGTGTAATGTATATGTGTGTGTGTGTGTGTGTGTGTCTAGGAAGGGGTGCGGATAGGACAAGTAAGAGGAAGAAAAAAGCGCTCGCGGTGCATGGCCCGTTTGTTTTGGTACTGCTCCGACATTAGCCTAGTGTTGATCTGCGAAACCACGGGAAGCTACCGATCAGAGCAGCCGGCCGCTAAAATTCTCCTACAGACAGCGACTGAATTCGGCTATCTCTAGCTAATGTCGAAAATCTTCCAACGTCGGGACTCGAATTCTAGAATCTCTCGGTCAGAGAAATTATTTATTTATTTATTTATTTATTTATTTATTTATTTATTTATTTATTTATTTATTTATTTATTTATTTATTTATTTATTTATTTATTTATTTACGTCAAAAACTGTGTGTGACATGTTATGGGGAGAAGTTAATTTGAAGTTACATTTAAGTCCAGAAGCAAAAAAAGGTGCCATCTCAGTATTTGCTCGAGGTTCAGGAAAACTGGACGAAAACCTGATCTAGATGGGGACCTAGAACCTTAAGTACAATACGTGTTACGGGTTCTTTAGAATTATACAATCCAAACGGTATGTAATGCATTAAATGTAATTGTTAAAATTAATATTACTTTCCTTTTGGATGTTCGGTATAGTCTCTAATTGTATAGAAACAGTTGTGCAGCAGAAAAGATTTTACTAGGGAACTTAAATTTTGTATCGAATTTAATCGTTTAATGTCATCTGGCAAAATGTAAAATAATGTACATGTATTATATGTGAATTTTTTGTAGTAAGCTGTTGATACTGTCACCTGATGAATATGATTACTACATCGAGTGTTGTAGTTATAGACAATGGCATTTGCTGAAAATATATTCCCGCTCTTAAGTATGTCATTTTTGACAAAAAACACTGATTCATATATCAAGAGACAAGGTAATGGTAAAATACCTAGATGAATAAAGGGAGGCTTACAAGAATCACGTGGGTTGGATTTACTTATTATTCGTACAATTCGTTTATGTAATCTAAAAGTCTGAGAACTATAAGACGTATTTCCCCAGAATATTATGCCATATCTCAGGCGGGAATGAACATCTGCGAAATATACACAACGAGCAGTGTAGACAACATTGCAGTGAAATCAGTTAGTGGCCTGAGCCATCTTTGCCAATCCGGGGTAGATGAACGAAACTAATAACCATAGCAGTTGACATGCCCAGAAGCATCAACATTGTCCTTCCTCGAGCGGAGCCTCGTGTTCGCATCCTGTGGCTGTCACTCGATTGACGTCGGCCTCGCCGGGGAGGAGGCACGAACCGCAAGGCCATCAGCGAAAAGCGTCTGGTGCAAGGGCCGCGTGCGCTGTCGCCGCCGCATCTACTTCGCTCCGGCCTGACACTTCACGCGGTCTTTTGTCATCACACGTCTTTGACGTTGCCACGCCTCTCGTCTTTAAATTGGTTCGCCCTGTTTACCGTTCAGAGCTCCTTTCATATACCGTATAGAAAGTGCAGGATTCAATTCAACTTGTTCCAGAACTCTGAATATTAATTTTGGTGTGTAAGTGCACGTAAACATCATTCTGATAAGTTCTTTGATAATGTCCGGCTTGATTCATAAAACCGTCGTTTTTGAATACCATATAGACAAATTATATATTTTCATATTATTTCCATATATAAAATTCAAGGACTCAAAGGGATATAAGCCTCACTCAAGTAGTTTTGAGATACAACTCGTTTAATGCAGGGATAAGGCTATTTGTCGTCTGTTATCATGCCAAATCTCTAGAAAAGGGAAACCTTAAATGCTTAATAGAAAATAGATTACCCAGAGGGGATCATGGCAAGGCCAACTTGAAAATCTCAAAATCGATGCTTTTGACTCTCAGTGATGTATTCAATTAATCAAAAAACAAATTGGGCTGTTCTGATATAATTTCTATTAAATGGAAAGATGAATGGATGAATTGATAAACGTTTGAAATTAAAAAGAGCTTCTTTTCGAACTCAAGAAAAATATATAATGTTTTAAAAAATATGTGTCCAAAATAAGTAATAAATTATAACAATTTTGCCTTGCTTCCTTTATGAATTGCACTCAATGTCTTTATATTTCTAGAACCTTTCTTCAGAATTAGAAATATAGTTTGAGGACTGAAATATTTACAAAAGTCTCTTTGTAGAAATTAACCATTGCAGATTTACACCATGCAGTAGAAACGGGAAATAGAGATTACGGAATTTGGTCGCAGTAAATTAAAACATTCAAAGTTTCAGTTAACGAACATTTCGGAATATGTTTATTCCATCTACACTTCAAATATACATATGACAATACAACATCATAGTCCTATTGTGTGTGTGTATAAAACTTAACAGTAATACAACTTACTAGGCCAAT